AGCACGTGCCAGACCCTATTCTAACTGTTGTACACATTTGCTCATTTAATCTCATAGCCACATTATGAGGTAGGTTATTATCTCTATTAAGCCTAAGGCATCTGATTGTCTCTATTTTTCACAGATGACACTAAGGCACTGAGAGGTTAAGGAACTCTCCCAAGGTCACACAATGGTTGAGTCAGAGTCTGAACACAGGCTGTCCAATCCCACATCCCAACCTCCTAACCACTAGGCTATTCAGGTCACTGGATACCTTTGAGAGGACCGAGATTTTAAAAACACATGTTGACGTCTCAGGTTTAAAGTTTATCTTCTAATGTCAGGAGCAACTAAATTCCACTCGTTTTTTCCATTTTAAAACAGCGTGAAATATTTAAACGAGAACAAAAAGCTAAACCCATCAGTTAAACTGACTGCATCAAAACATCCACGACAAACCTCCCCCTGGAGGGGAGGAAATTATTTTAATAGTATCCTTTATTTTGAGTTTTCTCCTCTTGTTGGGTTGCTTAGGGATACAGGCTTAGAGTATCTGCTCTTGAATTACAGTGTATTGGGGGAAGCAGAATATACTCACAAACAGAATACTGCTGTGCATACAATACCCCTGGGAGGATTTTTTTATGGTAATATGATGGCCCACAAGGAGGGATCCTGAGTGTTTGGGGAGAAGTGGCAGAGATTGTTCTAGCACCTTTGGAATCTACAGCATGTTAACTGGATTATCTAATCAGACAATACACACAGATTAGAGACACGACCCCGCCTCTCTTACTGTGTGTGTTGCATGTCTGTATGCATAACTCTGAATCCTATTTTTCTCAGTTATTACAACATAACCATTTTCCCATGTTATTGAAATTTTTCATAAACAAGTTTTATGTATACATCCTTGTTTAAAATCTTAAGAAATCTGAGCACTCCCAACATATGGAACTTGTATTTCTCAATTTCCTTTGGGATTCTTCATTAATGTAATCATAATGTCAACATTCAGAATCTCCCACTTTCTCAAGAATTGTATTGTCTATACCATGTTAGGATATAATCATTTGTACCCCAAAATCACCTCACTTAATCCCCACCACAGCCTGAGGTAGACATTGTGATCCTCATTTAAGATGAGGGCACAGAGGTTCGAAAGGCTCAGGTAGCTCATAAATCATACGGTGGGCACTAGATCCAGGAATCTGGACCTCAGAGTCCAGGCCACTTTCTCCTTCCCAAAGACGCAGCCAGGTCTGTGACTGTTCAGGGAGAGCCTCCCCGAGCTCTAGCTCACACGTTCAATAATCATTTGTTACACCGCAGCAACATGCTTGGATCCAGGAGCAGAGAGGTGAAGATGATGTGGCTCCTGCTCTCAAAAGTCTCTGTGCAGAATGGGCAGCAGAGGCAGCTCTACCACGCAAGTGCCCTTCCAGCAGAACAGCACCGTGTGGTGGCAGCCAAGAGAGCCCCGGGCAGGTCTTGAAAAGCACCACCGAGCTGAGGACAACTGAAGGCAAATCAGGGAGGGCACCAGGCACTGCAGGCAGAAGCAACGAGAGGCAGCTCCCAGAGGAGGGCAAGTGCCTGGTGGATTCGGGAAGGCTGGGGGGAGTCTGTGTACAGAGTGGTGGCAAACGTGAGTAGGAGCCGTCGGGGCAGCGGAGGGGCTCTCAATGTAACTCTAAGGAGCTGGGAAAACGGTCACTCTGTGCCAAGAATCCTGGCACTGCCACTTCACTAACCGTGCAGTTCACGACAGAGTTCCAATATTCTGATCAAAAAACGGACAATCAAACTCTGTTGACAGAAATTTCATCCTCCGCAAGCAGGAGGAAACAAGGAAGGAGATGGCCGTGGTGCACTTAATTCTGACCAAAAAATAACTGGTAGCCGACATGAAAGTGAGCGGGAGCCAGGGAGGTCAACGAGGGAAGCTTACATTATCTCCTTCGGTGCTGCAAGCACGCTTCCAATGGCCGCCATTATGAAGTGCGCACAGAGGGACAGGGACTGCGCAGGCCGTGGCATCAGACCTTCACGAGGTGAGGATTATCCCCATTGTTACGAGGACATGAGCTCAGGAAAGTGAAGAGTGTGCCCAAGGAGAAGCAGCATGTAAGAGGTAGGGCCAATTTAACCAGAACCGACAGAGTAACACATGTCAGGACATTCCAATTAAAACAGCAGCTGTGTGAAGCCAGGTAGCCCGGTCTGAAGGGACTGAGAAGCCCGGGCTGCGGGAGCTGTGTGCGTGCTGGGGGTCGGGGAACTCTGGGGACAGAGGCAGACCTGGATGACGATGAGCTCCAAATGCTGCCCTGGAGAATGTACCTGAGCAGGCAGGAGTGGAGTCACTCGGGGGCCAGGGGCAGACTGAAGGAAAGTGCCTCTGGCAGCAGCACACGTGATGGACTGAAGATGGAGAAGATGGAGAAGGGGAGCTGCCCAGTGGGCTGCTGCCTTTAGCCCGGATACAGTAACCAGCGGCAGAGTGAAATAGGGGCAAGCGAGAGCAAAGACAAGGGTTGGAGAAGGTTCCAAGGAGGAAAGAAAGGCCCCTTGGACCAGGGCTCCCTGTCAACAGGATAGCTGCCCCATGCCCAAGCCAAAATCCAGAAATTGGAATATATGGGCTTAAGGGCAATGTCAAAGGTAAGATTTCTAGGATACACAAGCAACGAAAGAAAAAAGGAAACAGAATGGACTTCATCAAAATTAAAAACTTTTGTGTTTCAAAGGACATCTTCAAGAAAGTGGGAAGACAACCCACAGAATAGGTGAAAAGTTTTGTACATCATATTACCTGATGAGGGACTTGTATTTAGAATGTATAAAGAACTCCTACAACTCAATAATAAAAAGACAACCCAATCAAAAATGGGCAAAGGATCTGAAGCCAGTTCTCCCAAGAAGATATACAAATGGCAAACAAGCACATGAAAAGATACTCAGTATCATTAGGCATCAGGAAAATGCAAATCAAAACCGCAATGAGGTATCACTTCACCTCCACTAGGACGGCTAAGTTAAAGGACAGACAATAACAAATGTCAGTGAGGATATGGAACAACTGGAACCCTCATGCACTGTGGTAAGAATATAAAATGGTGCAGCCACATTGGAAAACAGCCTGGCAGTTCCTTAAAAGTTAAACAGAGTTAGCGTATGATCCAGCAAATCTACTCCTAGGTATGTATATATCCAAGAGAAGGGAAAACATGTCTACACAAACACCTGTACACACATTCATAGCAGCATTATTCATAATGGCCAAAAAGTGGAAACAATCTAAATGTCCACCAAATGAAGAATGGATGAGTAAAATGTAGTATATCCATACAACAGAATATTATCCGATAATAAAAATGAATAAAGTCGAATACATGCTAAAACATGGATGAACTTTTGCTTACAAGAACACTGAAAGGAAAATATCAAAAGAGAAAGTGGGCGTTAGCTCAAATATCATTTTTATTTTTATAAAAAGGGGCCTAGGCTATCCAAATTATCCTGTAAAAAAAACTCTTCCAATGCGTAAGGTGGAAATAAAAAACATTTTTAAAAGTTTATTATAACTAACAAAATAATTTCAGGTCAAGATTACTACATAGAAATTATAATTGATGGCTAGATAAACACTTTATCCTAGAAAGTGCACACTGGCCTCAGATGTGTTTGGCTCCAACGTGCCTTAAAGTGTTTTTAAGTCTGAGCGCCTCCCCGTGGCCCCTACCAATGTACATATCACATTTATAACCAATTTATAGTTTTGAATCATCATTTCTGTTTAAAATGTCTATTTCTGTGAACTGGGGGCAAAGGCAGGAGAAAGGATGTGAGCCTTTGCTCAGGACTGTGCCCCAGATTAGAATACAACTCCTACAGGAAAATACTTCCTTTCAACATGCTGTTCCCCGGACACGGGGAGGTGACAATTAAAAACTACTGTAGGCATCTGTGGAGAAGAAAAGGTGCAGATCCAAGCCTGTGGGCATGGTGGAGGGAGAAATCAGGATGAAAACACAAAAGGCAGCAGAGCAAGAATGAGCAGCCTGAGGTCGGCAAAGACTAGAGGGCAGGAAAGGCCGTGAGCGCCAGTGTCTCCCTCCGGGCGCCACCCCCAAAACCCCAGACTGCATCCCTTTCCTTCCTTCCTAACTGAAAAAGGGCCCCTCTTTCCTTCCCTTCTCATACCTTTATAAGAATGAATCAGAGGAATTTCCGCCACAGCAATTACAGAAGGACATCATTTTCCAGCCCTACTATCTCATTTATGGATGAGGAAACTGAGACTCAAGAGAGGGAATGGGTCTAAACTATGGTTTTTAAAATTGTGTCTTTTAAGTGAAATCATTCAAGAAGAGTAAATAGATAAATTAGAGCTGATGGGAAGGACAGCCTGCCTCTGCCGTGTGGGCCCCCAGGGGCTCTGTGGAGCAGCTTTAAAATAGTGGTGTAAAGTGAGAGACAAGCCAAGCCCTGGGTCCTGCCCCGAAGCCAGGGCAGCGGCCCGGTATTAACTATATTTTCCTATTTTCTGTAGTTCTGATCCTCTGGCATCTGGGGCCTCACTGATGGAGAGGAAATTGCCCCTCCCGGGGCTAGCTAATTCCTGGAGACAGCAAACAACTCCCCTGTGAGCCCACCTTTAAGATGCAAACCCAGAGCTATCCCCCAACCACCTCCTTCATCTCTCCCAGGGCTTCTACACTCCAGGCCAATAGCCCCGTCCTAATCCCCCCAGGGCTGGGTACCAGACAACTAGGGGCAGCCCCTATGCCCCAGAGCCCACCAAAATTATTCAAACTTGCTGATCCGAAAGCTGTCTACCCTGCATCCTGCCTTGCCTGTTCCTTCCCACGAAAACCACAATAAAGTCTCCAGCCCCTGCCTTCCCCTCACTCCCTCTGCCTCCTGACCAAGCCTGGTGCTTCCCCATGTGGCTCCCCCATGGCATGGCCCCTCCTCTTGGGAATTCTAGCAAACTACTTTTTCAATGGCAGCTGTCTCCTGGTCTGCTGGCCTCACCCCACCTGGATAACAATAAAACCTACATTTTAAAACAGGCCCATTCTAGAAGCAAACATTATCCTCAGAAATCCTGCAGTTAAGATTCAGAAAATTCACATCCTAAAGGTGCCACAACTCTGGGGAGAGCCTGGCCAGCAAGCTGTCTCCTGGATGACTTTCAACTGTGGGTAGAAAAGGGACCAAAAGTAAAGGAGGCTTGGGGCCTGGAACCATGGAAGAGGACGAGACAGGTCAGCAGGATAACCCGGCAGGAAGGCAGGCAGTAGAGAGGTACCAAGGCGAGTGTGGCTTTAGGAAGAGGGACAGAAAGAAAAGGGCACCATGGCACAAGACTGGGCAGTGTCCAGCAACTTGGGGCCAGCCTCAGCCGTCCAGCTCCTCCTTGACAGTGATGCGCAGGGGGCAGATGCGCAGAGGCTCAGGGGGCCCACCCCCCCGCGCGCCCCCCAGGTAGAAGTAGGGCCGCACCTCCCCAAAGCGGGCGTGGAAGGTGTAGAGGTGGCAGTGGCGCTCCGCGTCGTAGAAGGACAGCTCGCCCTCCTCGCACTCCAGCTCCACGCGCAGGCGGCGCGGAATGGTCGGGACCAGCGGCGATGTGGCGGGGTCCGAGGTCACACAGTGGTCCCCCTCCACCCCCTGCGTGCGGCACACGTACCAGAAGCCCGAGCGGGTGTCATGGTAGCAGCTGTGCGAGTGGCCCTCAGCGCCCGCGTCCTGGCGCGTCCGCACCACACCCACCCGCCAGCTTGGCAGCCCACCCAGGTCCACCTCCCAGGCGTGGGAGCCTTGGGAGAAGGTGCGGGAGCCCAGCAGGCAAGGCGCCGAGGAGAAGCGCTCCGGGTTCTCCACCTGGACTCGGTAGCCGTGGTTGGTGACGCTGGTGAGGTCATCGGACACGGAGAGCCAGCCAGCAGCGGTGTTGGGATCAAAGCTGAAGGGCACTGAGAGCAGACGAGGAAAGTGGGGGAAAATCAGCAAACCTCACATCCCACCCTTCTGCCGCCAACTGATGCCTCCAGTCCCCCCCAAACTGACCAAGTGACCAGGCCCCAGTGCATGGAGGGGCTGCCCTGGCTGAGGTGCAGTGTCATGGGTTGAATTGTGCCCTGCTAAAAACGATATGTTGAAGGTCACCTCCGAAGGTGACCTTATTTATTTGAGAATGGGGTCACTGCAGATGTCATTAGTTGAGATGAGATCAGAGAGGAGTAGAGTAAGCCCTTAATCCTATATGACTATTGTCCTTACAAAAAAAGAAGAGGAGACACAGACCCAGGAGGGGAGAAGGCCATGTGATGAAGGAGAAAGTGCTACAGCAAGGATGGCCGGCAATTAGGTTTCAGAGGGAGCGTGGCCCTGCTGACACCTCCATTTTGGACTTCTAGCCTCTGGAACTGTGAACAAATAAATTTCTGTCATTTTAAGGCATCCAGTTTGCAGTCCCTTGTTACGGCAGCCAGAGGAAATCAATACAGGCAGGGACCCCGCATGCTCACACAACTCCCATGATGTCTGAGGAAAGCACTAACATTCCCCTGCGTCCTGTAAAATCATGATGACCCAGTCCGTTTGTGCTGCTATAACAAAAACACCACAGACTGGGTGGCTTAAACAACAGAAATTTATTTCGTATAGTTCTGGAGACTGGAAGTCCAAGATCAGGGTGCCAGTGTGATTGGGTTCTGGTGAGAACCCTCTTCTTGGTTTACAGATGACTGCCTTCCTGCTGTGTCCTCACATGGGAGAGAGGGAGCAGCTCTCTCATGTTTCTTCTTATAAAGGCACTAATCTATCAGGGCCCCCCCATGACCTCATCTAACCCTAATCACCCCCCAAAGGCCCCACCTCCAAATACCATCACATCAGAGGTTAGGGCTTCAACATATGAATTTGGGGGGGACAGAAACACTCAGTCTATAGTGCATGACATAGTGACTCACATGGGCTGGAATCACCCTGGGAGAGGTGATCCTGAACTGAGGAGGCCTTTCATTACATATACAGTATGGTTCTGAAGAGAGAGGGAAGCCAGCTTCCCTTTCTGAGGAGGTGGCCGGGTATCAGGACCCAAAGAGGAAGGAGTTCTGCCTGGAGGGTTTGAGCAGTGGGGCCAGGAGTGGACAGGGCACCAGGGACCTGTCTGAAAGAAGCTGGAGAAGGGATCAGTCGAGAGATGAGGAGGTGTGATGGGGTGGGAAGAAATGAGTTCAGCTGGCTCTCTGCCTGGCATGAAGTGCTCCCACCCCAGTAATACCTGCCCACACCCACACTCACCAGACTCAACAGACATGACCATCTTCCTCCAGACGCGGTACTGTAGGGAGTCCAGGTACTTGCAGACGTCGATGAGCATGCCCGGCTGGACGGGATCTGGCTCCATGGTGCAAAAGAGGCTGGAAAGGGAGAATTGGGCCTGATGGGTGGGGCCAAGGCCATGCATCCTGGGCCTGACTGGGTCAGCTGGAAACAGGCAACAGGACTTGTTCCCTTGCCTCAGGCCTAAATTCCCTGCCACCTTGCCCAAGACAAACCTGGACTGGGCTCTGATGGGAGATGAGCGAGGAGCCAACTGGCCAGCTCATACCCCTTCAGGATTCAGTACTTGGGCTCAGCCTGCCCCATAAACATAAACAGAAGGTTCTCAGACACAGTTTCCATCCTTGTGGGCAGAAATCACACTTACACATCTGCTTATGCGATGTCTGAGTCAGAAGGGACCATAAGGATCCTCTAGTCCAATAGTCTGAAGGTGTCACTGGCGTTTGAACACCTCCAGTGACAGGGAACTCACTACTGCTCAAAGTACTTTCTTCCATCTTTGTACAGCTCTGACTGGGACACAGGTCTTCTTTATTCATTGCTTTGAATGGGCTTTGTGTTGCCCAACAAACGGCAACACAAACCACTGTGTCTTGAGGCTTTCAGAGGGAGAGGGCTAACCAAGAAACAAGCCTAAATATTAGGACGACCCCGAGAAATACGAGCCACGTGCAGGATGGCACACTCACTCCCACACCGTGGATTACCGGTAATGCTCCACACTCAAGCAAACAACCTTGCACCAGTGCAGTTGGAAGTGGCATGCCTTGAAAGAGGGCTCTCTCCACCTGGCCAGTCCCCACCACTCCCTCTGTGTTAACACCCAGCTGGCTTCATTACCTGGCTGGCCCTGGAGCCAGTGGAGTTTGCACCCCTGGTATCTGTGCCTGCTCTTCCCCTCCCCTCCACCAGCCGTGGCAACTTACCGGCGTTTTCGGCTCTTGTGTTTCTGAAAGAGAAAAAAACCACAGAGACACAAACATAGAAAATAAGTAGAAGTTTCTGACCTCAAAAGGAGTCATACATCCCAAGTTTATAGATCAGAAGCCTTAATATTGTTAAGATGGTAATATTCTCCAAATTGGTCTACAGATTCAATGCAATTCCTATCAGAATTCTAGCTGGCTTCCCTGCAGACACTGACAGCTGATCCTAAAACGCATATGGAAATTCAAGGGATCCAGAATAGCCAAAACAATCTTGGAAAAGAAGAACAAAGTTGGTGGCTCACACTTCCCGATTTCAAAACTTAGTAAAAGCAACAGCAATCAAGACAATGTGATACTAACATAAGGACAGACATATAGATCAATGGACACTGCAAGTCTAGCAATAAACCCTCATATTTACTGTCAGTTGATTGTGTGTAAGGGTGCCAAGACCACACGATGGAGAAAGAATGGTCTTCAACAGATGGTGCTGGGACAACTGGATACCCACATGAAAAGAACAGAGCTGGACTCCCACCTTGCACCATATACAAAAGCTAACTCCAAATGGCTCAAAGACTTAAATGTAGAGCTAAAACTATAAAACTCACGACCTTGGATTAGGCTATGGTTTCTTAGATATGACACCAAAAGCACAAGCACCAAAAGGAAACACACATAAATTGGACTTTATCAAAATGAAAAAACTTCTGTGCTTCAAAGGATGTCATCAAGAAAGTGAAAAGATAACCCACAACATGGAAGAAAATATTTATAAATCATATATCTGATAAAAATCTAGTGTCCATAATATATAAAATCTCATAAAATTCAACAACAAAAAGACAAGCAACCCAATTTAAAAAATGGGCAAAGGACTTGAATGTACATTTCTTCCTAGAAGATATACAAATGGCCAACAAGTACATGAAAAGATGCTCAATATCATTAGCCATCAGAGAAATACAAAATAAAACCCCAACGAGATCTACTTCACACCCGTTACAACGGCTATAATCAAAACATCAGATAAGTGTTGGCAAGGATGTGGAGAAATTACAGTCCTCACACACTGCTGATGGGAATGAAAAATGGGGCAGGCGCTTGGGAAACACCCTGGCAGCTCCTCAAATGGCTAGCCTTAGAGTTACCATATGATTCAGCGAATCTACTCCTAGCACATACCCAAGAGAAATGAAAACATATGTCCATGAAAACTTGTATGTGAATGTTTACAGCAGTACTGTTCATAACAGCTAAAAAGTGGGAACACCCCAAATGTCCACCAATTGATGAATGGATAAATAAAATGCAGTGGCTCAATACAATGGAGTATTATTCAGCCACGTACTGACACATGCTACAACATGGATGAAGTTTTAAAATATTATGCTGAGCGAAAGAAGCCAGACAAAAGGCTACATACTGAATGATTCCATCTCTATGAAATGTCCAGAATAGGCAAATCTATAGAGACAAAAAGTAGATAAGTGGTTGTTGTGGGTGGTGGGGATGCGGGCACAGGAGGGTGACAGCTAGAGGGGATGGGGTTTCCATTTATGGAGACAAAAACATTCTAAAACTGTGGTGATGGTTGCATGACTCTGTGATATACTAAAAAACCCTGAATTGTACATTTTAAATGGGTGAATTATATAGTATGTGAATTATATCTCAATAAAGCTGTTATATAAAAAAAGAGAGAGTGACAAAACCATCCTGAAAGCACACTGGTTACTGGGCAAGAGACACTCCCAATTTCCTAAACAGAAATAGCAAGGAATCCAGCTTTCAGAACCCACTAAATGATTTTATAATCTGGGGCATTTTGGCAACAGGAGACATCATGGTTCAAAGCTTTGTATGAGGTGGAGAACCCACAAAGGTCCCCAGCCAGAATGTGACATCCTGCCCAAATGGAGGACGTCCCTGTCCCTTCCCACTCCACTCTACAAAGACTCCCCTCCAGAAAGTTCAGCTGTTCTCCAAGTAGAGAAGAACTCATTATCCTGACCGATTTCTAAACTAGCTTTCCAGTTATAGAAACTTCTCTATAAAGACCCAGTGACTCACGGGGGGTAGGGGGATGGGAGAGTGGGGGATGAAATGAACAAAAGGAAAAAAGAAAATAAACTAAATATATTTTTTAAAGAGAGAATAGAGTCATCCTTTTCTTAAGAAAATAATAGAGAATACCAAAACATCATACTTAAATAATTGTATAATTTAAAAATACTCCATTTTGTATTCTTTGCAAAATCCTATAACCCCAGTCTAATCATGAGAAAAACATCAGAAAAACCCAGATTGGGGCAACATTCTACATGATACCTGGCCAGTATTCCTCAGCACTGCCAAGGTCAGGAAAAACAGAAAGAATAAGCAGCTATCACAGACCAGAGGAGAGTGGGAGACCTGACAACTAAACGCAATGTGGGACCCTGCATTGGATCCTGGAGCAGAAAGAGGACATGAATGGAAAAAACTGGTGAACTCCAAATAAGCCTGGAGTCTAGTTAATAATAATGCACCAATGTCATTTTTCTAGTTTGGACAAACGTGCCAGAAGGTAATGTAAGGTGTTAACAAAGGGAGAAACTAGGTGGAGAGGTACACGGGAGCACTCTGTACCATCTTTGCAACTTTTCCATACATCTAAAATTATTCCAAAATAAAAAGTATATTAAAAAAGTACTCCATTATATTAAGAAGGAGTAAAGAAAGAAGAAATAAAAAAACAGAGAGCAAGAGCAAGTGCAGGAGAGGGAGGGAGAGGGAGAAGGAAAGAAGAGGGAGGCAGAGAGAAATGAAGAGCCCCTCAAGGAACCCTGTTCTGATTAAAATCTTTCCGCCTCTTGACACAGCAGAGCACCAATCTGTAAGCTCCTCCAGCCCAGTATCCAGGGGCTACAGGAAGACTGGGATGGCCAGGGCTGCTGGTCTCGGGCTGCCCACTGGCTCCTGAACATCTGGTCCCTGTCACTGAATCCAGATGAGCTGCTCACCATGAGAAAAGAAACATCATCTTCCTTCATCTCCATCTGCAGCCGCTCAATCTCATGGGCCAGAGCCTCTGTGTCTTCCGTGAGCCGCTTCATCTTCTCCTCGGCCAGAAGCTGCTTCTGCCTCGCCTCCTCGGCCACGGCATCCAGGACGGCCTGCTCCTCCAATCTCAAGAACTCTCGGAGCTTATCAAACTCCTGCCGGATTCGCCCTTCCAGCCAGGCAGCCTCCACCTACAGCAGAGGGTGGGCGGGAGCCACAGAAGGTTAGACACAGAGAGAACCTCAGCCATCACCTGACCCAATGACTTAGATTGTTAAAAATTTTAAAAATACCAGATTTTTAGCAATGGAACTCTATTTTTGAAACAATCCATATGTAAAACCCCAACAGATAAACTATAGATGCAATTTTATTAGCACAAATTTATAAGTTTAAATTTAAAATGTCAAATATCATAATGAGGTTACCCTGATAAAATAAAAAAAATAAAATCATTGCTTAGATGACAACTGTAGTCCCACAACTTCCTCAACATACAATATTCTGTATCTTGTTTAGGTTGCACAACAGCAACGGAAATCATGAATCACAGACAGGAACTGTCGCAAATGGCAACGACTTTTAAAAGTTATTTGCCTTCCAATTTTAGGACTTCAAATTTGTCTGATCCAGAGGCTTACCAAAAGAGTACTAGGAAGTATTTATTTTAAAACTGAATTATTAATAATATGCATACTCCTAATCATAACTGCAAAAAGCTTTTTAAAAGCTGAAACAAAACCATAAATGTAATTAAAAAAATGCAGAGAAATATTTCTCATCTTGGAAGGAGAAAGACCTTTCTTACCATGATATGAAACCGAGAAGCCTCAAAGAAAGAATGAGATAACTGAATACATATAAAAATAAGAAGTTTTGTATGGCAAGAGACTACTGATCAAATTAAATACATCAATACAATTCTAAGACGACTATTGGAAAAACAACTCAGAATGTGAGCTGCAGCAACGGCAGGCTAGTAATCTCATCTCTGGGTTGAAAGTTCAGTGTATGTTTACAGCTTTGATGATATGATGATGAAATGATTCAATGAAAAAGTGAAAATGACCAAAAAAAGTGAAAATGATTCATCGAAAAACAAATGACAAACTAGGAAATTATTTGCAACATATGACAGACTGTTATTATTCTTAATACACAAAGCGCTCTTATGAATCCACTAGGAGACAAGACAAATATTCTAAGAAAAACGAATGTGAACTGGCACATACAGAAGAAACGCAAATGGCTATTATACTTGTGAAAGGATGTACAAACTTACCAATGCAAATGAGAAAAAATGCAAATGAGAGCAAATGGCACGGCTGAAATATCAGACTAAAAAGACTGATAACGTATAGTGGGAGAGAGAGTGAAGTCCAGGATGATTCTCATCACACAGGAAGAGAAAAAACAGAGCAGGCAGGAAAAACCAGTTGTACAAAGCCAGCTCCAGACCCCGCACTGCTGGCAATGGCAGCCTCGCAGTGAAACTTCCATCCACTCATCAGCCTGGCCTGAGTGGACTTGGAGGAAAAGCATTACTCCAGCTGGAATCTGGAATCGTCACACCTGGCCACGTTAAGAGTTCCACATGCCTATGATGGGCAGACAGGTGCCGTCACTTGGACATATGGACACTCCCCAAGTAACACCACTCCAGTCCCACACAAGGCCAGCCAGGTGACGGCGTTAGCCACCAAGGCAATCAGGTGAAAGCACAGAGATGAAGCCCCAGGATTCCACGACAACTGCAGGACAACTCAAAAAGTGTCCCCTAGCCACGGCAGGCTAGTGATCTCATTTTTGGACTGAGAGTTCAATGTGTGTTTATGGCTCTGACAATATTATGACAAAATGATTCTTTGAAAACAGTGAAAAATATCTCTCACATCAGTTTGTTGGTCTCTAAGACGTGAGAAGTGTTGAATGACTTCTCTCTGTTGACACTTCACATGCATTATCTCATCTGAACGTTTAAAAAAATCCTAGTAAGAGGGACTTGTTTTCTTTGTACAGAGCTTGGAGGGGTGAGGGATTTGCCTGGAGAACACGGCTTGGATTTGACAGTAGGTCTGCTATGTGGTTACTGCCCCGGCCACCAACATTTCACAATCCTTTCTTCTGCTCTGTTCCACCAGCTCTGCGGCTGGGGGTAAACTCCTTGGCCAGACGTTGATGAGGCTTTTTCCCAAGCCTAATCCTCTCCCATGGACACACAGATACTGGAGGCCTGGCCGGCTCTGTAGGGGAATGCCAGGCAGACTGAGCCAGGGGTGTCTTAGCTGAGGGTGGGATGAGTCCACCTGAGCAGTAATTATTAGAAGCACTCACCCAGGAAGCGAAGGAGCAGAGCCAGATAACCAGTCAGAAACCAGGCTGCCAACCCACCCCAGACTCAGGTGAAGAGAGGGTGCCAACGTCTAACAACAAGAGTGGGGATGGAGGGGGGACCAATTCACTCACTCAATTAACACACATTTATTGGTCACCTACTGTGTGCCAAGAATTCTTTTAGACACCAGCGTGCCCTGCTTTCATTATATTCTAATGGAAGGAGATAAAAAAATAAATAGAAAACAAAAAGTTAATTACAGGTAGTGAAGTGTGATGAAGAAAGTAAAACAGGGAGATATGATAGCAAGTAAACGGGGAGGGCTCCTTTGGGTAGGGTGATCAGGGAACGTTCTTGGGGGGACATTTGAGCTGAGATTTTAACGACAAGATGCTGAGCATGGCAGGAGCTGGGGAGAGGCCTTAGCTCACGTAAGGACAGAAGGCCAGTGTGGCTGGAGAGAGAGTGCAGCCACGCATGGGAGGCGATGAAGTCGAGGGGCAGGCAGGGCTGGGAAGGGCGCCTTGGAGGACGTGGCAAGGAGTCTAGATTGTATTGCGAGTGTGATGGAAGCCACTGGACAGTTTTAAGCAGAGGAATGACCCAATCGGCGTATTTTTCTAAAAGGTCAGTCCACTCCATGGAGAGTGGATTGCAGAACAAGAACAGAAGCCTGGGGCCCAGGTAGGAGGCCAGATGAGAAACGACAGTGACCTGGAGGGGGATGGTGGCAGTGGAAATGGAGTGTTGGATGGACATCATCTATTTTGGAGACAGAGGGCACAGGCTTGCTGATGGAGTGGACACAGGAAGCAAGAGGGAAAGAGGAATAACTAATGAGGCCCAGGTCATCATTGGCTTGAGTACCTGGGTAGATGGTGAAGTGCAGCATGAGCTGAAGTTAGTCTCAATCCACAGCGCAGATGGCACAGGTGGCTTTTTAAGCCACTCCTGTGGCTGCTGGTGTGGCCATCCCCAGGTATTTAAAAACGCCATGGCAGTGCAGCCACAATCAGCATCTGAGGACATGGCTGTGATAGACCATCAGGGCTGGGAAAGGCTGACCCTGCATCAACAGCCAGGCCAGGGACAACCCACCCTGCCCTCTCCCCTGCACTGCCCTGGGTGACCCCAGTCTCCCCACCCAGCCCAAGCACTCACTCACCTGATTGTGTTTGGCGATGGCCTCGCAGGAGCGCCGCATGGCCCAGAAGGCCTTGGCTTTCTCCCGAAGCGTGTGCTCCATGTTCCTGCACTTGGCCTACGTGAGGAACAAGAAGGAAGCACGGAGGCAGGTTAGGGCTGGAGGCCAGGCAGGCAGGACAACATACCAAATTCACAACTGCAGTTCCGCGTCAACACAGGCACAAGTCAACCACATTTACTGAACTGGTCCAGCCACGCGCTGCAAAGCACAGCAGAAAGTACAGCCCTCACCTGGAATCCAACATTTACGGCATAAAGGGCCCTCAGATTTCCTCTAACCCGGCCCCTTTGTTTTATCTCTGGTACAGATGGGGAGACAGGGCTGAGGAGGTAAAGAGACCTGTTTCCTCTCGAGTTGCTCATAGAATAGCATAGAATGGCATCTTGCTCAGGCCTAGAGCTGGTCCAGGCCGGCCGTGAATCCCTGAGCTATGTGCGTAACTGTAGAGACAACGTGCTCACAGGCTCCCTTCGAGACTTTCTGAACTGAACTGGCTTGCAGTCACTCACAAACAGGTCTGATTATGGGGCCAACCCAACTGGGCCTTAACTAAATGACATGTCTCCCTGCATCCCTACCGTATCCCAATATTCTAATAGTGCTTGGATCACACGAAATACTGTGATCAGCAGGCTCAAATACTTTTTGTTTAGTAGTTTTTGCTTTTTAAACTTTAACCATTGCTCTGACCTCCTTGGACTCCTCGAAGAACCACTACTAGTTTTAGGTTGGATTGCTACATTTTGTATCCAAAGCCTATAACTTTCTCTCCATCTTTATTCTTTTCTCTCCACATTCTGAGAAAGCTTTCCAAGTTTATTCTTCATAAAAATAATCAAAATAATTCTAATAACATTAATTATAAATGACTACCATTCATTGAGCATTTACTATTTGCCAGGGACTGTGCTAATTACTTTACAAATGATGTCACTTAATCACCACATGATCCCTATTAGGTGAGTAATATTATTAGCCCCATTTTACAGACTAAAAAAACTGCAGCACAGAAAGGGGAAGTGACTAGTCTGAGGGCACACAGCTAGTACGTGGCAGAACACGGATGTGAACCTAGACAGTGGTGGGAGGCGGTCTCCAAGCTGGCCCCCAGAGACCCCTCCCTCCTGTGAGATAAGAAAGTTTGTTGTTTCAAGCTGCCAAATTTGGGGGTGATTTGTTATGCAGCAATAGATAATACAGATTTGTGCTCAAAAGCCACATCCCTACCTGGACTTGATTCAGACGAGATTCTGGAGTTGGAGCTGCTGCTGTAACGGATAAGACGTTTAGGGATCTGGGGAGGGGGTGAGTGTATTCTGCAGGTGGGAGAGACATGAATCATCACTGGGGCCAGAGGGCAGATTGTTGAAGGCAGCCTCTAAAATGACTTTGGTGACTTTGGTGATCCCCACCTCCTGGTATCCACGCCCTGGTAGAATCCCCTCCCTCTGGGCTGGACCTAGTGACTTGCTTCTAACCAACAGAATACAACAAAAGTGATAGGCTGTCACGTCTGAATTGAGGGGACAAAAACCCTGTGCATGCCCTTTCTCGCCTCTCACTTGCTCACCTGGATGGAAGTCAGCTGCCATGCTGTGCTCTGCTGTGCTCTAGCCTATGGAGTGGCCCACGGGGCTAGGAACTGAGGGTGGCCTCCAACCCAGAGCCAGTGAGGACCTGAGTCCTGCCAGCAGCCACATGAGTGAGCCTGAATGGGGATCCCGGCCTGCTTGAGCTTCAAGCGAACTGCAGCCCCAGCCAACACCTCCGTCGCAGCATCACGAGAGACCCTGAGGCAGAGGCACCCAGCTAGGTCATGCCCAGATTCCTGGCCCACAGAAACCAGGAGATAACAGACAGTTTTTATTTTAAGCTGCTATGTTTTGGAATAATTTGTTACGCAGCAATAGATAACTAGCCTGTCTGTCCTGCTCCACAGCCCATCCTTTTAATTGCTAGACTACAGAGAATAAAACAATGACTGATTTCATTTTCTGCAGGTTTTGTTTTATTTTCTACTCATTCTGGTCATTTTTATGTTCTTCTTGAGAATATTTAACAGATTTTTTAAACATCGTTTTCTGTAGTACATCATCTCTAAGGTGTGTCTCCTCAACAACAGAATAACAGTATGAGCATCCCACAAGACAACTGAAATATCATGCTAATGTTTTATTTTGTGGGATGAGATGTTTTGTTACAAAGTCATGCAGTGGAGTCCAAAAGGACAATTCTGTGGTTTTCCAGAGAAGTGTGAGCAATAGGAGTGAAGCACCTGCCCCCACACCTTACCCAGGAGTGTGCTGGCTCCAAACAACACAGCCGACCCTCTCCCTCAACCCCAACGGCTGGGAGTTACAGGACAACGAAGATGGGAGGGGGGACAGTCCCTTGTCCTTCCCAACTCTTCAAGCACTTGGAGAGTTCCAGTTTAATTCAGCAAAGACCAACCCTAAAATGGCCCTTCTCTGAGATGTTAGCTGGTGAGATCAACCAATGATTATATTATTACTAGCAAGCTGTTATTATGGAGCATGTACTATGCACAGGCACTAAATTAAGCACTTTACAAACATCATTCTATTTAATTCTTACATTCCTGTGGGGTAGGCACTATATTCCTATTACAGAGAGGAGAAAATAAGGCCCAGAGGAGTTAAGTAACTTGCCAAAATTATACAGTTAGTAGCAGAACCAGGATGTGTACTCAGGACCATCCAACACTAAAGGCCATGTTCTTAGCCACAAGACTGTACACCCCTTTTCATTAAGAGAGCTACCACCATGCTTGTCCAGCTGTCTTTTGTGTTTCTCAATGTGTCATCTTATTTCCAAATTTGTTGTTATCAAACGTTGTCAGTTTTCTTTAGTTCTGGAGAATAAAAGCTTATAATTCTGTCAACACTTGGCCCAATACCTTAAATAATCTAGCATGTTAATGAAATTTTCCTCCCATAAATGTCAAACTAAACAATACATTTAAAACAACAATGGATATTCAAAAACTGGAAACAACCCAAATAGCCATCAACAAGAGATGGATGAATAAATTACGGTATATTGACACAATGGGAAGTTACCTAGCAACAAAAAAAGGAACAAACCACTGATACATATAACATGGGTGAATCAAAAAATATATGTACTATTTGGGAGGAACAAAGCCAGACACAAAAGGGTACACACAGTATCATTCCATTTATGTGACATTCAAGAACAGGCAGCACCAGTCTAAGGCGAGAGAAATCAGAACGTGGTTGCCTCTTGGTGACTGACTGGGAAGAGGGAGCGAGCTCTCCTCGGTGATGGAAATGTTGTACGGTTTGTTCAGGGTGGCAGGACAGGGGATGTGTAATAGTTAGAACTCATCCAACCGAACATTTAAGACCTATGCATCGGGGCCGGCCCCGTGGCTTATCGGTTAAGTACGCGCACTCCGCTACTGGCGGCCTGGGTTCGGATCCTGGGCTCGCACTGACGCACCGCTTGTCCCACCATGCTGAGGCCGCGTCCCACATACAGCAACTAGAAGGATGTGCAACTATGACATACAACTATCTACTGGGGCTTCGGGGAGAAAAAGGAGGAGGATTGGCAATAGATCTTAGCTCAGCGCCGGTCTTCCTCAGCAAAAAGAGGAGGATTGGCGTGGATGTTAGCTCAGGGCTGATCTTCCTCACACACACACAAAAAATACGACCTATGCATCTTATTGTATATAAATAATACCTCAAGTTTTTAAAAGCCTGTAAAATGAAAACTTTAGAAGTTTTAGCCTTTTCTTGTCACTTACCAAGAGCTTTCCTTCCTCATTGAAAGGAAATTCCTTCCTTTTAATTTCTCTCAGGTTTAATGAGTTACTTTTTACCTTTCAATCTCCTTTGTTGTTGGCAATTTATTTTCTTTGGCATAAAAGACAAATGTGCAATCTCTTAAATAATTAGAAATTGAACAGCCCTGGGCCAGCTCCGTGGCTTAGCGGTTAGGTGCGCGTGCTCTGATGCTGGCGGCCCGGGTTCGGATCCCGGGCACGCCCCAAGAACCACTTCTCCGTCCAACCCGAGGCCGAGTCCCACGTACAGCAACTAGAAGGATGTGAACCTACGACATACAACTATCTACTGGGGCTTTGGGGGGAAAAAATGAATAAATAAAATCTTTAAAAAAAAAAAAAAAAAAGAAATTGAACACCCCTGTAACCACTACCCAGGATGTGTCCCTTCTCAATCTTATCCCCTTCTTCCTGTCAGAGGAAACAACTGTCCTAATTTTTACAGTATTTCTTTGTTTTTCTTTATATTTATATCACCTATTATGCATCCATAACCTAAATTATATCTTTAGCTTTGCCTGGTTTTGAACTTTATTTAATGAAATCATACTATATGTACTCTTTTGTGTCTTGCTTCCTTTACTTAACATAAGGGTTGTAGGATTAAACACGTTATTGTTTATAAGTTTACTCATTCACTGTTGCATTGTATTCCATTGTATGAATATACCACAATCATTTCTCCATTCTGTTAACAAACAGTCAGGTCATGTACAATCTTCAAGTAACACAAATAGTATGAACATGCTTGTCTAGGTCTCCTGGTGCACATGTACACTCGTTTCTCTACAAAATATTCCTGGGGGTAGAACTGCTGGGCCACAGGTCCATGTTTCTTCAACTTTAGCAGATGACGCCAAACCATGGTCCAAAGCAGTTGTACCATTAACCATTTGGATCTTTATTTTTAAATATCTGTTAAAGTCTTTTCACCATTTTCCTATTAAGTCGCCTGCAATTTTGCTACTGGTTTGTACGAATTTATTATACAAGCACAATGTATGTCTTTTATGGATTAGATGTATAACAAGTATCTTCTATTGTATTGCTTATACTTAATTTAAGTATGGTCAAATTTATCAGTCTTTGCCTTTAGAATTAGTGCTCGTTGGTTTTGTTTAAGAAATACCTCCCTGGGACCGGCCTGGTGGCAGAGTGGTTAAGTTCACGTGCTCCACTTCTGCAGTCCAGGGTTCGCAGGTTCGGATCCTGGGCGCGGACC